GGGGATATGCGGGAAAGGGTGGAGGGCTGGGGAGGGGGGATATACAGGGCGGGGGGATATGCCACAGGTGGGGGGATGGGGGATATACGTGGCAGGGGGGATATGCAGGTGTGGGGGGGCAGGGGGAGGGGGGATATGCAGGTGTGGGGGGGCAGGGGGAGGGGGGATATGCAGGGCGGGGGACATGTAGGAGTGGGGGGAGGAGGGGACATGCATTCTGGGGAAGAGCTCCCTGCCCCCCGACTCTCCCTGCAGGCGCCCTGCGGAGCCGGGGGGGGGCTGGACCCCCCTGCATGAGAAGATCAACCGGGCGGAGGAGCACAAGCACGGCTTTAAGACCAGCATGAAGCGGCTGCTACAGCGACGTACCAGCCCCCGCCGGGACCCCCCCGGTCCCCCGGCCCCCAGGGCAGAGCCCCACGAAGGGCCGAAGGCGGGGGGGGAGGAGCGCCCCAAGCGCGGCCGGGGGTTTCCCTTCAAGGGCGTGCTGCGGAGGAAGGGCCCCTCCCGGGAGGAGACAGAGCCCCCGCCTCGCCCCTCCGCACCCCCCAACTCCCTGCCAGTCACCCCCTGCTACTGCACGGACACCCTGAGCGCACAGCCGGACTCCCCGCCTCTGGGTAAGAGACCCACGGGGCCGGGAGAGAACCCAGGCGTCCGGGCTCCCCCCTGCCCTGACCCCAGCTCTCTCAGCAGGCCGGGCGGCCGAGGACCCGGAGTTCTACACCCTCGTGGCCCGGAAGCTGGACCGGCTGGTGAAGCAGCAGCGGAGCGGCGCCAGCAGCCCCAGCGGGATCCGGTCCCCTGGGGTCGTGGCCGGGCCCCTCAGCCCAGAGCCTGGCCCCGGGCCCCCAGGTGAGCAGGGGGGCCTTGGTCCTCCCCCCACCCCCCGGGGGCAGCTCTGGGTCACAGGCCTGTGTCTCTCCCCCAGCCCCCCCGGAGCCGGCCAGCGAGACGCACAAGGAGCTGGTCATCCAGAGACTGGTGGCACTGCTGGAGGAGCAAGCCGGGGTCATCAACGACGAGGTGCCGACCCGGTGCCCCCTCTCCCGCCCCGCAGCCCAGCCCTGCCCTAACCCCTCCAACCCCGCCGGTGCCCCCTCTCCCACCCCGCAGCCCCTCCAGTGTCCCTCACTCCCGCTCGCCCGGCCCTGCCCCCTCCAGCCCCGCCGGTGCCCCCTCTCCCGCCCCGCAGCCCAGCCCTGCCCTGCCCCCTCCAACCCCCGCCGGGTGCCCCCC